CACTCGAACATTTTTTGATAGTGAAGTGATACTATTCTGAAGTCACAATAGCCTAGTTTCTCTTTCTGTTGCGCAATTGCCCGAAGCAAAATCATGTTTAAGTGTGTCAAATGTCTTACTGGAGTTTATAAAACTTACATTAATTTCTTGGTTTATGTCAAAGCATCTTTGTGAATACATGTGGATGAAGGCTATTTCAAAATTCTAATTGATTTTCACTAACTTTCTGCTCTAGTTTCTTAGATAGTTTATTATGTTGTTATGGGTGATTTTAGCCCAGTCTAGTTAGCTATTTAGAAGTTTGCGTTGGAAGATACACCTACACATTGTCCCCCATAATGAACCCTTTATGAGCTGGAACACCTAAAATGTGCATATTTTTAATCAGCTTTTAATTAAAGTTTGCTTTAGATTCAATCAGCGCAAGGTATGATTAACGAAAGCTGCAATTACTCTAGTTATTGCGATAATCGAAGTATTGCAGTGCTGAAAACGTTTCTGAGTTGGAAATTTATAACTTACGAAGAGTCAGGTAATTTTATGACGATAAGTTGAGTAATGCTATTTCTATTTCCGTGCATAAACCCGAAAGCGCTATTGATTTAAACTTTGGTATATCGAGAGTGATGAATGTTTGTAGCGTTAGGTTCTCCATTCGTTTATTTGAAATATGACTCAGTCGAGAAAAACAAACGGTTACTGGACACAACTCATAAGCACGCCGTAGCTTGTGGCAGATTGCTATTTCTCAAATCTACCGAAATATGAATTATCGCCAATTTAAACTTTCTGATTCGGTAGCGTCTTGAAAATTGCCCTTTTTCCAAATATACTCCGTTCTTTTTTGGTCTTAAATCTCTATTTGAACTTCAGATGAGTAGAAATGCAAACTCATTTTAAAAATGTGTTTGTCCTGTCGAAATTAAGCATCAAGTCTTAAAAAAAGTAACCCACCACGAAACAATGAACAACAATTTTTGCACAAGGGCATTTATTAGTAAGGGTAGCACATAAATAACGATAATTCTTAAATAAAAATCTAGAATCACTTTACTGCGGGGTAAATTGGTAACAAACGCTTAAAAATTGTTTTTTTTTGCTTAGACTTCAGATTCCATCGACATAGCACAAAAGGAAGGGTCTTTTTCACATGTAATGCAAATACTCTCAGCAGCTACTACTTTTTCGAAGACGAAATTCTGATAGTATCAGAATTTCGTCTTCAGTTTTCTTCCGTATTTTCCGTCCCACACTGCCTCTTCAATTAGCACGTCTCTCCATGCAGCACACAGAATATCACCCAAAATATTCTCTGTATTCATAAAACGTGCCGTAAAAATAGCTAGGATATAGCGCTTTTAATACTGACTAAAATTCAAGATATATAAATCCATACTAAGTTAATTGAGTATAATTGCAAATTAATGCGGTGCCTTACATCTCATATATTCTATAAACCGGAAGTTCAATAAAAGGAATGTAAATACAAATCTTGAATCTTGCCTGAGCAATTTTTATTGGTGATATAATGACCAAGTATAAGTTGCACTAAGCAGGCACAGTTAACTATGCAAAATGGAGCAGTTGCTGCAGGCTTAATTGTCAAAAATGCAAATTTATGCAACTAATATATTAAATCATTCAACCCCTTTCGATGATAAAATTATGTGTTCAAGTTTAAAGTCTCTGGACGTTTATGAATAGAGAAAAAACATACAAATGAACATCAAATGTATCAACGATTTGCCAGTTATTCGTGAAAATACTCCCAAGCGAATCAGTTTCTCCTGCTATATGAAACATTTGCCAACCTTCTCCCCTTGGAGTGGAAACTCAACAGTTCCCACGCCGCCTTAATATATTTCCCACAGAAAGGGAAAACGCAGCAGACTAGACCAACAAATTTTCCTAAAAGTTTTCTCAAAGGTGCCAATTACCCAAAGGATTTGGCTAAATGAAAATAAATACAATTATATTCATTTGTTAGATATCTGCCCCAACAATATGAAAAGATTGATTGAAAAAAAGTATTGATGTATTTATGTATGAAGTGCCCAATATCATATAATTTTGATAATTAAATACAATCATAGCTTGCTAGAATTATTGTGCATGTTTTTAAAGCCCGGAAAGGTCTCTATATTTAAGCTAGTCTTTAAAGCGATCTTATTTAATGTTAAATGCATCAAACATTCAAACACTCATTCATAATGTTTCTGTTCCTGAGTAAACACGCAGTCCAGAGCCAAGTAATATTTTATAAGCTGGTTGACTATAATATTCTGCGTAATAAAATATTTTCCATTAAAAGATACGGTAGCAAATACATTGATTAAGTTAATATCCCGTGTTCCACCTACATAATAAGTATCTATATTGCTCGAAACATTCTGACGACGATTTGCGTTTAAAATAAGGCAATGCGGAAATCCACCGTATAAAAATGTACTTTAATGTGTACCTCGGAATTTCAAAAGGAAAACCCTGATTAAGTTAAAGTGGCATTTTGCTTCCCGCGATTTTAGTCCACTTACAAGTCAATCATCTAATTAATAATGATTGGTTAGCACAACTAAATGAAATTATTAAAAAACATTAATTAATTCTTCAAAATGCAGCTTTTAACTAGTTTGTGCGGTAAACAAAGTGAAACCCAAACTGCTTTGTAATTATTACATATTCAATTGTCTATTGCATCATTTTTCAGCACAATTCATTTCAGTGCGTCCACCATTAAATCAGATATACTTTGCAAACTCTATTTCGCACACGTGTTGCTATTTTCTGACAATATGCTTTGCATCGCGACAATATTCTCTATACATTCTGTCCCATCGTTTTCGCATTTTATTATGTTAAATGAGATGATGTTTTTCAAATATTTAGAACATAGTGTTCACGCTTCATAAATTAAATAAATTTATTTTAGCTAAAATGCACTTAGTACATCTTTTAAAATAGTGCATTGTGTAGATGGGAAAGCGTTTTATTTCTGGACGACTTCGGAATTTGATACCCGAAGCGCAATCTGATGCCTGCAATCGCAGAAGTCCAGGAATGTGCTTTTCTGCTAGATGCACATAAATGCTTTCTTCGATCGGAAATAGTTCTTTAAAAAGTAAATTTGTGTTTCCTTGAAATTGCCCTCCTCTGATTTACTCAGCAATTACTAGATCTCTGGAAGTATGTTTTGGATAATATGCAGACACGTTAATTAGATAAATGCGCAAAATGGAACAATCTGTTGAACAATTAAAATTTTGAAGTGCAGCATAAATAACCTACGGTCATTGGAACGTTTCCATTATCCAACTAACAAAAATTATAATTATTAATACCTTGAACTGGATCACTGAATATAGAACTTGTATAGAACAGAACAATAAAATTAATGTTTTTATGGTAAATAACACAGTTACGTTAATAATCACCTTCTCCGATTCATGCGTGTGAATTTAGTTGTGTTATATTTTCTTTGTGCGGACATAATCCAGCTTAAAGAATACGTACGTTAATAAAAGCTCCTAATGGTATGCATATTTTAAACTTCACAGTTGCCCAGTTTAACAAAGCTTTTAAGATTACAATCATTATTAATTAGCACCATGACATACTTAGATGTAATCTGAAAAAATCAGCTTTTTTACTTAAAGCCGCTCATAGTAAATATTTATTGAGTTGAGTCAAATAATGCAGTTAAATGCTTAAATCCTTAATATTGGGTGTAGTCGTGAAGACTGATAAATTGATTTTATCATTTTCCATAAATTATGTACGCCTTCATACAGGTATAGAAAGACTATTTAAATACTAGAATAACGTCAGAACTCTTTGGAAAATTGAGAATCAAATTTGAACTTATTTTAATTCCTTAATATTCTGTAATTTTGTAACACGTGCATAAAGTGTGGAAAATTCATCATAAACAACCTCATGTGCAGATCACAGTCAGACCTGAACTGTAAAAACATTATTAAAAAGAGCAAGCAGCTTGCTTGGCTATTAAGCTGTGGCCAAAAAGTATTTTCAGAGAGAGTAGTGAAACATCTCCTAATTAAACCAAATTCAAATTGAAAAAACCGAATGTTCTTATTACATCTACATTGGTCTCATCACATTGACAAATTACGACACTGTAGTTCTAATCGAAAACCAGTTCTTAAGTGGTTCAAAAAACATATTATATCAAAAACATAAAACATCAAGATTGATTGAAAAATTTCCTTATAAAGATGTTCATGAACACGTACTTAGAGTAAATAATGGTTGTGGTTGTTTTTTGTTTAACCATCGGAGAGAAAATGATAGAAACATATATTTTAATAGTCACAACGTCTCTTAGTTAACATTTTTCGTATCTTACAGAATCAAAGCACGTGATCAGTAAGGTTTTCAAAGCTATTTGCAAAAGACAGACATTTCTTGTTTTTTGTATATCTTGTTCCATATTCTCTTGTTACATCCATTCTAGAATTTTCTGGTCGGTTAATCATGAAAATCTCATCAAACCTGTTCTATGCCTTCGATAGCTCTAAAAGAATCCAACAACTATTTTCTATAATTAGCAAAACCAAAGAAGAGAAAAATTGAATCTGTATACAAAGTTTTTAAGATAATAGTGATCGCATCACCTTCGATTGCCCCTTTTCCCCACTTTTTTCACACGTGATCAGTCACAACTTTGTCCATTAGTCATGTTTCCATCTTAAATTCACTCACTTCTTCACTTCTCTTCAAATCTGCAATCTTAGAACATATATATTTTACGTTTAACCAGTAACGTTAACTTTTTTCTAAAAATAAGACCGAAAGTCACAGACTTTCCTTAAGAGACCCTAGTAGTTGTACAACTTTGCTTATTGAAGAACGACGCTAAATAATATTATATAACTAATTTACACATAACCAAAAGGTGACTTTTAAGATATGATATCTTGCTCCTGATTCCGTGTTCTGGTACCCTTCTAATGCTGCTGTTTTAAACATTTGTTTGTATTTAGGACAATAAACATATCCACGTTTATCATCTCCAAAACCGTTCCAAGTTTAATTTGACTGGGGAAATTAATGTAGAAACACGTCAAGATGGTCAAGCCTACGTTGTGGCCGCTACGCATTTGAATAGAACAGTCACCCTTTCGGCTGACTACTCTATTCAACCCCAGGAATACAAACAGCATTCAAGATTAGAGCTCAGCCCTGAGGTTTGGATTGGATACGATTTTAGTCTTATTAATAAGACCACAGTAAGTCAGCCTGTTATGATGATAATTCCTATCTGAGTATTAGGAACAAAATCTTATCAAATCAATTTTTCAACTCCTAAAATCGAGTAAAGGAAATTAATTTTGAAATATCCTTCCACGACAAAGGACATTTTTTTAATTTAAAAATATTTATTAACATCAAATTAATAAAACTATTGAACATGAAATGAAACTAATGAAAGTGCTAACTACCTTTATTCGAATATCACAAGAACTCTTTTTTTGGTCCTTCTATTTGTTCTCCAATTATTTCCAATCTACTATAATTTTTTCGCTCATTAATTTAGAAAGGAAAGGTGAATCAAAGAACGTACTTACAAGTGTCTACAAAACCTTTAAACCTTGTAAGCTAATCTCTTTTAAAAATTGCAGGATAATATTTTCGACGTTGAAATGTTTCTTATTAATATATCATACCCCCGACGTAACTTCAGTGCCCAGGGTTTCTACAATATAAGTGATTCGCTTGTTTCCACGGACATATTACTGGTGTGGGACAAAGATAACAAATCCGTTGAAGCTGCCTTAGACTGGAGAAAAATTGCTTTACACCGAGACGAGATTAAGCTCCTGTTTAAACATCCCTCATTCGAAAAAGTAAGCTTCTAATCATTATTTCTGAGAAAAAGTATGAACAGCTAGGAGAAATATGCATGAGATCGAATACTTTTTAAACGCCCATAGATTAACATTGATTAATAACAGTTCTACCATACTTAAATCTTGAATGAGCGGTACAAACCAAGTATAAAATAGAGAAGATTATAAAATACCTTATGTATATAATCCTGTTTGTTTATCGTTTATCAAAATCTTCTGCCCTCTGTGGGGTATGAGATGCTATTGCGTGATATTTTAATGGGTGTGTGACCCATTGAGATGTTAATGCCACTGCAAAAAATAAAACTTATCAATCTTCCATATATCTACCAATTCTTAATCCTCAAGTTCTGTTGTAAATGGTAAATAATGCAAAGGTTGACTCTCTTATATTCTGATGTTCCCAAACGTATCGATTGCTTCCTTCGGATGCTTTAGCAACAGTTGAAGTTTTATAGGTCATTTTTTAGACATAATTCTGGTGGGTTGTTCGACTTCAAAAATATTTCATGACGGGGAAATGTTTCATTTGAATTCATAATGCTTTATTAACTAACATAGCAGTTTTCTTTAATCGTTTCAACTTAACAACTAGGGAATTTTTGTCAGAAATAACGCCTGTAGTATTAGATATCCAATATAAGATATTAGGTATAATTCCCCTGTTTAGTGAATTTTATAAATTTAATTACTGTTTTCCAGGATGTAATGTTGATGACAAACTATGGATATCAAAAATCGTCGTTAGAAGGACAAGTGATTATTGATTATTCATCGAATCCGGAGCAGAAAGTCACATTTGAGGTTCGGGGGGAGGATAAATCAAAAGGCCCAACTTACAATTATTCGTACAACATTTTTGCTGAGCACAAAGCCACGAATTTATATTTGAATTGCTTTGGACATGTTCACTGGAGCCCCAGAAAATGTGGAACAGAATATATTGCGGATTACAAAAAATCTTTCTTGCCGCTATCTCGATCTGTCGCATTGGTTAAAGTTGACTTTGATTTGAATGACGTTGTTTTAAAGGTATTATTATTTTAAAATTTATTTGGAAGAAATATACCTATGTACCTATGTTTTTGCCTCGCAAGTTGAAATATTAAGGTTGATTAGAGTTGTTTTTTAAAAGTGCAAAATTGGAATATTAACCTTGAAGGAAAAATCGATTTTTTCCAATTTTTGGGGCAAGATTTTAATAAATTTAACAGGCAAGAAAGCGATATGTTTTTATTGAAACTTTTTTATATTATCGACAAACCTACATATTTAGTTAGCATCATATTCGTTTTCTAGATTACTTGCATTGCAATTACTATTTCAACTTGTGAGCAATGCGAAAATAGTTCAAATTTTTTAAATTTTGTGCAACTAACATTTGTGGCGGCTGGTAATTTTTCATTGAAATTAAACGCAGTTTTTTGCTCAGTTCTGAATGCACTTACATTTATGACAACAGAGATGATTTTACCGAATGTGTTTGCGGCATGTTCCTTTACCTGAGGCTCTATAGAATCATTAATATCTAATTCTGAAAAATTCTCCTCTGGTAAACTGGATTTTAAAACAATATTTTATGTTTGTTTCATTTAGTATCCTTAAAGCGCAGGTTTTGAAGAGCCAGTTATTTATTATGCATTACATCTACATATAAAAATGCAATTAATCCTTGAATATAATTAACAAACTTAGACCCTTTTGAAAATGTGCAAGTTATTAGCGCATGTAGTTAAGGAGTGACTTCACTGAAATAAGCGCCAATTCATTGAAACCGTATTCAAGATTGGCTTCGCTATCAAAATATAGAACGATTCATCTATTAATCATTATGATTTTTACGCTAATTAGAAAGAAGACATTATTGGAAAGTCATATTTCTGGGGAAGATATGGTGGCCATTTTCCAATTTACACGGCAAATATAACATCTGCTCATGGAATAAATTACACATCAGGACATTTTAATGCCAATTTGAAGGAAAAAGTTGTGTCCGCAAATGTAAATTTAACTGAAGGTAAGTAGTAATGCCATGCATGGCACCATATTTCGTGATCCACTCGGAACGTGTCGCGGAAAATCAATGGTTTAATATACAATGGTATTTCCAAGGTAAGAAGAGAAAATCCGGAAAATTAAAACAGTAATAAAATGTTAAATTAAATATTTAAAATGCGTTTTTCACTCTGTTTGATTTTTAAAATTCATTGTTTTTTTGCGCCAATAACAAAGTTGTAGCAAAACCGACACCTTCTTGTACCATATTTAAATAAACATGAATATTATCTAATCAGTTTTTGTCTTGAAGTTTGGTGTTTAAGAAACCATCATTATTTTCTATTCTTTAACCACGACTTTGTTTGCGTGTTAGAGTTTATTAGATATTAGTGCCAAATTGTTTTTTTATATTAGTCAGACACCAAATTTTAAATTAAGGGTTTGAAAGCGCCAGTTTATTAGTCTTTTAATTGCCGAACTTTTTCCCATTTAACCAACTTTGTGTCATTACCGGCTTCCGATATCCCCATACTGGCCCTTCTTATCTTGAATACAGAGTATAGAGGGTGCATTATTTTATTAATTTAGGTACGTGGATGACAAGATCAAACAGCAATACATACATCGACATGAATACTTAGAACATAAC